AACCCTTGCATAAATTCTAATTTGAAAGATGCTAAGACTTTGCATTTGTTTCATAGGCAAGGCCTATCAGATAAGTACAGATAATACAGAAAACTAACACCAATGGGACATTGGACAATAGGAGATAATGTTCTCCAGCACTTGTGGGGAGGGCTAGCCTCATTACCTTTCTCTGAGGTCACTTTGTTGGGGTCCATTCCTCAGTCTTCTGTGGGACCCCTGTCATCTTCCATGGTTTCTCTCTTCTGACATCTGACTTCTCCTTTTAGCTGCTGCTGATCCAGGACTTTGAGAGTTCTGGCAATGGCTGAGGAAGTTGGAGCCACTGCTTTTTACTGAGTCAACATTGATCTAGCACAGAATGATTCTCTTTGCTATCCAGATCAGAATGTCTCATTATCATTTTAAAGTTTTTTCAAAAAACCAGAATAGAAGGGTAAAGGTTTTGGGAAAAAATATAAACAGAAACAACCACAAAACCACCTTATTGTCCTAATGAAACCACTGTGGGAAAGACAGCATGGAATGAGGAGAAGAACATTAGGCACACAGCACACTGGCATTTGATTTCATAGGGATATTGATCAAATGAAAAAAAAAAAAAAACACTCAAAACACTTTGTAATTTTTAAAATATTATAGTAATGTTTGTTGTTAGTTGCTGTCTAGTTGCCTGGTCTTGTACCATCTTAACAACTATTGATGTGCTCAGGTCCATTGTTGCTGCCAGTATGTATTTTGAGTGTCTTCCAGCCTTGGGGCTCACCTAGCACTATATCAGACAATATTCTGTTGTGACTCATGGGATTTTCATTGGCTACTCTTAAGAAGTAACATTACATCTTTTTTCCAGACTAGTCTGTTTTGATCTGGAAACTCCACTGAAACCTGTCCACCATGGGTAACCCTCCTGGTATTTGGAATATCAGTGTCATAGTTTCCAGCGTCACAGCAACATACAAGTCATCACAATGAGACAAAATGACATATGGGTTTGTTGTTGTTGTTGTGTGCCGTCGAATCGGACCCAACTCATAGTGACCCCTCCTTGGGTTTCCGAGGCGGTATCACTACGGAAGTAGATTGCCCCATCTTTCTTCTGAGGAGTGGCTGGTGGGTTTGAACTGACAGCCTTCTGGTTAGCAGTCAAGTGCCTTAGCCACTATGCTACCAGAGCTCCTGGTATACTAATGAAATGTAACATTATTACTACTATTACTAGTAGCTTGGAAGGAATTATCAGAAAAGGAAATCCTTATCACTTTTCCTCATTTTTATTAGTTTTAAAGAGACTTGGTGGGGTAGTGGTTAAAGCATTTGGCTTTTAACCAAAAGGTCAGTGGTTTTGAACCCACCAATGCTCCATGGAAGAAAAATGAGGCAATCTGCTTTTGTAAAGATTTACAGCCTTGGAAACCCAGTGGGAGTTGCTATAAATCAGAATTAACTTTATGGCTGTGAGGGTTTTTTCTTTTCTTTTATTTATTTATTTTATTATTGTTATTATTTTGACTCTCACTGCCATCTAGTCAGATCCGACTCATAGCAACCCCTCCTTGGGGTTTCCGAGGTGATATTACAATGGAAGTTGATTGCCCAATAGGTAGATCATAAAATACATGCTTTGAAGTGAGATCTGAGAAGAAAATACTAAATTATATTTGAAAAAAGAAATAAAAAAAAATACTTACAGTCATCCTTGTCTTTTCTTCCAAGTAGAACATGAAGCTTATATGTTCATATGTAGGAAATAAGCACATGAGAAAACACGTGTGGTTATGATAGTAATGCAAAGGATTATGTTTATCCACAGTTAATTTTGTATACACATATTAACTTGTCTAAATATGGGTTAAGGAGCTCTGATGACATAGTGACTAAGGCATTTGGTTGTTCACTAGAAGGTTGGGGGTTCAAACCCACCAGCCACTCCCCAGAAGGAAGGCTGGGCAATCTACTTCCATAAATAATTACCTCCTTAGAAACCCAATGGGGGTCACTGTAAGTCTGAATCAACTTGGTGGCAGTGAGTTGTTATTGTTGTTTTTTATATGGGTTATGTGCGTCAGTTTCTGTTAGCATAAGTGACACAATTATACAAAAAGAATTTGGGTATCGTGAATGAAATTAGTTTTTGACCTCCCTTTTTATCCTAAGGTATATTTGTATATGGTTTAGCATTTGATTACATATGTGTGATTTTGTTTTATATGGGAGAATGTTTGTGCTAGTAACTTTCATATGAGCTTTGATTTTAACTGTTTTTGTAAAAATTTGCATTTGCAATTGCCTGGTGTTGTGTTAGTCCCAGACCCAGGTTCCTAAATTGTATTAGCCTCAGAGATAATCTCTTTATCTAGGTACCCAGAGCTGAGAGATTTACTGAGAGCAGATACACTGTATTTGACATCATTTTTCTTTTAAAAAGCACATACAAGACATGTTAGGCCTGTGTTTGTGGAGTGTTATTTTGGTTGAAGATAGAGGAAGAGGGAGAGGGAGAAAGATGCAAAGTATCTTCAAATTTTCTTTTGCTTCATTTCAGTTTCTTCTTCAGCATATGGTCAATATTTACTCCTTCAGAGTGGCTGTAGAGTGATTTGTTACCCCTGTACTTAGCTCTATTTTGTTGTTTCCTTTTGCTGTAAAATACTCTTCAGAAATATCTGAACCAGTAGACTCCTAACTTAATTTATTCCATATCTCTAATGTTTTTTACTTAGCAAATTGGAATGGAAGAAAAGATAGACTCCTTTGTAAATTCTAAATGCTGAATGCTATTTATTTACAGGGAACGAGTCAGTTTTCTTGCCCTCCACTGGTGGCTGGAATGTTGTGCTTCTCGCACATACATTCCTGGGCATATTTTTAAAAAAGCGACGAAAACCTTCAAGTATGAAAGTCTCTAAGATCAGGGCGTCTAAGGATGCAGAAAGCAATCCAAAGATGAGACAACATGTCAAGAGACTTCATCAAGTTTTATTCCCTCTTTGCTTGTTTGTTAAAACACCACACACACACACACACACACACACACACACAAACTTTTTGAAAATGAAAGATTCTGGGGCAGACAGACTCTATGCATAGCTAGGCCTTCAGGAAGAGACTAGCTTCAAATTCACACTTTAGAACTCCACAACGTTTTAGGGAAAGTTGGAGTGACTAAAGTTTTCACTCACTGACGTGTCAAATGGGTAGTCCTGTGTGTACTGATATGTGCCAGGATCAGGTGTGAAAGCTTAGGACTCTAGGTCTGAGCATTCTAAAGAGTGCGGCAACAGACAGTAGCCTGTTCCGGAGCTGTTAGCCTCCACTGTCTACCTCCCACTCCTGGTGCATTGCCTCCATTTCTCAGCGCCCGGACATTGATGCCGAATAGAATAGGAGAATTACAACTACGGAACAGTCCGGACCTCCCAGCCCCTTTCTCAGACCCCAGTCCGCCGACAAGGAGACTACCCAAACATTGCTTTAGAAGCCTTGGCGCTTAGTGGTCAAACCCTTGCAAGCCTGGCGCTTGCCTGGAACAACTTGTCTCTGCAAGGTATAAGCGCCTCTCCCAGCGGCTGCCACTGGCGCCCCCAAGTGCCCAGCTCTGGAGCGCCCCAGACCCTCTCTTAGCCGCCTTAGATCATCGCAGAAGCAAATTGAAGGTGGGGAGCCTTAGTCCCTGGCACGAAAAGCTTTCCACGAAATTCCCAGGGGCTAGGAGGCAGGAAGCCAAACAAGGCAAGACCTCAAAAGCTCTGCCCCCGTTCATTTCTGTTTAGGATTTCCTCTTCACAAAGACGGCTTTTGCCTGGCATGGTAAAAATGCCCAGCGGGACTGCAAGGTCCAAATCTTTGGAACTTACCCAGTAGCATTCCCTTCTTTCTCCTACCCGCTATGAGATGCTACAAACCCTGCATGTTGGGGGAGGGGAGGATGTATCTGGAAACACCCAAACACTTCCCAAGGAGAGAATCTGAGCATCTTTCCCCCTTCTCTGGTCCTCTCAGCTCCCATTCTAAAGCCCCCTCCCTGTTCCCTTGAGCATCCACTGCACCTACCCAGACTCCCACACGCAATGGGAAGGAAAGGCTAAAACCAAACTCGAGCAAGTAAAGAAAACATAAAGTCCAGAATTTCACTTTTCTGAAGCTTCTGTAAGGCCTTTCTAGCGCTGCTCTAGGAGTCTGGGGCTGGAGATAGGTGAAGAGATTAAAGGAAGCGCAGTGGCGGTCCAGATGCGCGGTGGCATCTTGCCTTTCCTCACTTCCACATTTGTCCCTGCTTGTTTCCAAATGTCCCGCCATAGGCTGGAACTCTTGTCAGGAATCAGAAGCCACCACTTTCCTCTGGGGAACAAATCCCAGAATTGTTGTGGGACCAGCAGTCAGCAATGAGGATGGAGGAGGAGCGGAATATGGGGAGGGGGAGAAGGAGGGGAAAGGAAAGAGCAGCAGTGGGGGGAAGAATAGGAGGAGGGAAGGAGCGTGGGGGGTGAGAGAAAAGTTTTCACTCTTTGTCACTCTTGAATTGGGGGCGGAGGAAAAAGGAAACCCACTATGGGAAGCTATAAAAAGCAAAGGGGAGGCTGGGAACAGAGAAGAGGGAAAGAGAAAGATCTGGCAGAGCTCAAGCCCTCTCCCAGGGCATCCCAGCGTCCCTGGCAGAGGGTAGTTCTATGTGACCGGGGAACACCTCCCCAGCGCAACAGTGAGCGAGCGCGTCGGTCACCTCAACTAGCCTTAGACCGCAAGTGTGCTGTCCAGGGGCGGACCCTGATTCCCCATCGTAGAGCCTGCTAACGTTTAAAAGGAGTAGTGTCCTGCAAAGCTTGAGACATAAAGCGTAGGGACGAGAAAAGAGAGGCGGGAAAAGCAACTGAAGGCGAAAGAGAAGGAACTAGTGCGGACCTCCTTAGCAATTGAGAGGAGGGCCGCACCGCGCAGATCCAGGCAGGACAAGGAGGTGCGGAGCTAGGAGCCACGGAAGCTGTGAGGGCCTCCAGGCTGGGTCTTCTTGCACCTCGGGTCACGCCTCCTTGGCGGAGAAGGCGCCTCGCCTTTGATTGCTTCCAGTTACTGCAGAACTTCCTGCCCTGGAGAAGAAGCGAGTCTCGCTTGGGTCTGCCTTGCTCCTGGCCTGAGGAGTGAGACGGAGTTCACCCCGCGCTGGCTCCCGAAGCCAGGAAGGGTTTGGGTAACAGAAACCGCCAGCCACCTTGCCTTGAGTGAAGGCTCTCGTGTTGGGATTCTTGCTCACTTTGCATCCACACTCTTCAGGATTTTGCGCCTCCCCGGGGACCACTCGCTGGGAGATGGCCGTGTTGATGCGAGGCAAGGACTCGTCCCGTTGCCTGCTCTTACTGGCTGCAGTGCTGATGGTGGAGAGTTCGCAGCTCGGCAGTTCGAGGGCCAAAGTCAACTCCATCAAGTCCTCTCTGGGCGGGGAGACGCTTGCCCAAGCGGCCAATCGATCTGCCGGCATATACCAAGGACTGGCTTTCGGCGGCAGTAAGAAGGGCAAAAACCTGGGGCAGGTAGGAAACCCCCCCAAACAAACTCTTCAGCCAAGAGAAGTAGGGACCAGCGTTCTTGTGTGCGCCTTTTGCCTTTGCGCCCGGTTGCCTTCTGCGCTCACCCCAGGTGTGGTGCGCACAGCCTCTGGAATGAAGTTCTCTGAGAAGGGACTTCACTGATGGTGGTGGTTGGGTGACTTGACTGCAGGTCTTTCAGTGCACGGAGTAGGTGGGTTAGGGTTCTGTCTCCCCTTTGCTTTGGGTCACGGGCGTGTACCAAGATCCAGTTTGTTCTTGTGGCGAGCAGTGGTCAGAACTGTCCTTCTCTAGATTTAACACTGATTCCCATGATGAAGGTAATAATAGCAGCTAACTCGTAG